GTATTTTTTATATTAATACTTAGAATTGTTTACTATTTTTAATAATATCACACTATAGGCTCACCTTTTATTTTATAAAAATATCATAAAAAATTATAATAGAAATAACAATATGTTTTCAATATTAATAAAAATAAGTTCTTTCAAATTTATTAATTATTTTATTATTAATAAAAATAATAATATTTATAAAACAAATAATAATATTTAGAATCTTAGGACCAAGGAACCTCGGGTCTAGTGCCATGGCCCATGCGCCATGTGTCCCTAAGTGGGGCACGAGCATGGCTCACTCCTAGAGTATCCCAAGCATCACGTGTGTGCAGGGCTTTGGTTTGCCCTTAAGCAAGTATCCCAACACTACGTATGCGCTGGCGTATGCCCAGCACTGAGGTAGCAGCCTAAGCGTTATGCATGTGCTTTGTCTATTATTACACAGGCAGGCAACCCAAGCGTCATGTGGGCGCAGGGGTGTACCCAGCACTGAGGTAACAACCTAAGCGCCATGTATGCGCTTTGTCTGCCAGCACACAAGCAGCAACCCAATCGCCACGTGTGCGTATATCCAGGGGGCGCGCCTCTAGCCTAACGCTTGGGGCATGTTGGCTGCAACCTTACACATGCCCCCACCAAACAGTGTAGTCCACAATGAATTCACTCATAGTGCATGGTACCCCTCTTATAGTGCAGAACAATGCAATCCACAATGAATTCACTCATAGTGAACAATATTTGACGCTATAGTGAAACTCTAATCAGTTTTAGTTATAGTTAATATGGTTGATATTCATCATAATTTCATATTTAATTGTCACTATTTTTGTAATATTTTTAAAAGGAAAGGAAAAAAATTTAATAAGAAAAGGCAACAACACCCTTGAAGGAGTAAACAATAGTTATGAGTAAGGGATATTTTGGTAATTGTATAAAGTTAACAAATATAAATAGAAAAAAAAGTGACCCAAAATTAAAAGAGAGCATACCAAAAAGGAGAAAAAGAGAAAAAAGAAGATGAGAAAAGAGAAAAAGATACAAGAAAGAGGAGTGGGAGAATATAGGTTTTTAGGTAAGATTTATACTTTGATGTGTATGATTGTTGTTATTAACTATGGTTTCAAATTTGTTAAAATTTTAGGGATTTGAAGTTTGTGTTTTTTAGTTTAGTTGATGGATTAATTAATTGTTATGAGTTTTTGAGTTATAAGTTGAAATTTTAAGGATCTATAATTTTGAAGAGCTGGCAAATTGAGATTTTAAAATCCTGATCAACTGGTTGGCCCGATGGTTTCGGTCGATTGGTTGACTGAGTAGTGCGAGCTAATTGATTTTTTTATGTTCGATTAGTTTGGGAAATATTTAATATCTATCAGGTGGATCTGTTTCAGTTTTTTAAATACGTTCTAGTCTCTAATCTTAGTATTGTAATCTCTTATGTTATTTGCTTCAAGTCATTTTAAGTTTTTTTTTTTGTTTTTTGTATTCAAATACTCATAATATTCCACCTATTGAGCATAAGTAGCATTCCTTTAATATTTTCTTATGTGTTTATTCTATTTTTGAGATAGGTGAGTGAATAATATTCCATAAATTATATTTTAGAGCCTCGCCTATCACAGCCTGAATTTCGAGTCCATGACTAGCAACGCAGGAGCAGTGTCGTAAAAACACCCCACCTATGCTAAGCTTTAGAACGTACATATCATAAAATAAATTATATAAAGATTTCATAATATTTTAATATTTTTCAAAATATTATTATCTTCAAAATCAAATAACACTTCAAAATTATTCTCATTGTCAGATAAGGCAAAAAAATAACCATAATGCTTATTACATTGCTAAAATCCAAAAATAATTAAAACAATGTAATAGTGGAGCGTCTAATACATCAAATAAAAAAATAATAGGAAAGCTTCGTGAAACAAGCAAGATATACCGACCTAAACTAAAGAAACATGAACACTCAATAAAGTTCACCTGCTAATAGAAACTAAAACCCTGAAATAATATTAAAAAAGAAAGGGTGAATTCAACCAATTCAGTGAGAGAATAGTATTTAACATACTTTTTAGATATTAATAATTTACAAATCGATATATCTTGATATAAATATATATATTAAGCATATTAATATAAAGCAGTGGAATGCATGTCAGATATCAGATGACACCCAAAGGTTACCATATGACACTCGAAGGTGACCATTGTGGGAGGATCATACATTATAAGTTGATGCCTCTTTCACCAACTAGTTATATAAAATATCATATGCACATGGACTAATTAATCTCTGTTAGCATGAAGTTACTGACAAGTATACCGATATCGAATATAATATAAACTCGTATAATTATCAAAGCAATGTATATTATATTGAATAGAATTTAGTTCAACAAAATATAATGACAAATTCAAGAATGGATGAATACTCGAAAAATAAAACAATATATATAAATATTCAAGAAATTAACTAGTTGTACTATCATATAATCAACATATATATATATATATATATATAAGATTATCTCTTTCACCCAGAAAAAAAAAAGTAAAAGAAAAATGAATGTAGAATCGAATACTACTAAAGATCATTAGGAGGGATGTCAACAGAACATGTAATGGATACAAAAAACACTCAGAAATGACTTGAAGCAAAGTAACATAAAAGATTAAAAACTTTAAATTTAGAGACCAAAACATAAATATAAGGCCAAAGTGTTTTACTCAATAGATCTCGAACATAACCCAAATTAATCAAACCTAACAAACTCGATAAAACTCTAATATTGGCTCAACCAGTCAACCAAAATGATCAACTAGTCAACTATTATCATAGGCCAACCAGTCGGCCAATTCAGCCAACCACTCGACTAGCAAAAACTAGTCAACCGGTTGATAGGGATTTCCAGAATCTTGATTTGCCAATATTCAATTCTATAGTTTCCATAATATAATAATTTGTTCTTTAATAACTCATAATTCTAGACATCAAATATGTTCATTTCAAGCCAACTAACATCCTAATACATGAATTAAAATTCTTAAATATTTTAATTATTAAAACAATATACAAACCTTAAACAATTCTTTAAATTCTTCCATAATCAATCTCTTAATCAAGAATAACAAAAAGACAATCACTTACTTATTTCTTCAAACTTTCTTAAATCAAAACTTAAGCTAAAACTGAAATCTTTGGTATATACAGGGGGAAGTTATGGTAGAGAGAAGAAAAGAGGAAAAGAAAGAAAGAAAAAAAATTCTCTATCAACATTTTGTTTAAATACCTAGGTTAGTAGGGTTGAGTTTGGGCTAAACTTTAGGCTTGGGTATGATGGGCTAAGAATATAAGTCTTGCATGAGCTAATAGCTTAAGCTTTTAGGTTGAGTTGATTATTTGATATGATATCAAAGCCTTGTTGACCAAACAGTTATAAGTTCGAATCTCACAACTCCATTTTATTTGATAATTAAGCACAAGATAGTGTGAACATGTACAAGTTTCAAGCTCAAAGAGCTTTTACTTGAGGGGGTGTGTTAAAAAATTATGTAAATCATATCTCATGGTCTCACTTAACAGTTTAAGTTTTTAGATTGAGTTGATTCTTTGACATAATATAGATATTTGAATTGTTAATATAAATTGAATCATGCTTCTTGGTAAAATATATATTGCTCATTATCTTTTGCTTATGATGAATCATGATCACATATTGAAACTCATTTCTCGATATGAGATATTATGCACATCTGAATTGATAACTCCTTATTTAATTGATTTAATTGATTGTATGAACTAAGCTTTTAAGAAATGATTATGTTATGTTTGATTATGACCTTGCATGAACTAAGCTTTTAAAAAATGATTATGTTATGTTTGATTATGACCCTGTGGTATGTTAATCTATATACTCATGCTAATAGGATATTGTTAACCTTTGTGCATATTATTATTTTGAAACTTAGTTAGTTAGGGGAGATCATTAACTAGTGATGATTGATCATCCTACATTTTAGAATGTCATATTCATTGCATGTTAACTTTCTGATAAGCTTTATTTTATGATATTTCTTGCTACGTCGTACTCATTACATATTGACTTTCTAATAAGCTTTATTTTATGATATTTCTTGCTATAGTCTGCTTGTGAAACTCACTTGTAAAAACACAAAGCCAAACTTGTATATATTCTTCATTGTTATATTATATCATGGATGTATATTGAATGTTATTTATTTACTGAGTTGTTAAACTTATTATTTCATTATTTATTTATTTATTTCAAGCTTATAACTTAGTTAACATGTCGTTTTTATTGAACTTCATCATCTTATTATTTATTTATTTCAAGCTTATAGCTTAGTTAACATGTCGTTTTTATTGAACTTTCAAAACTTTTTTTTGTTTATTATAATTAATATTATTAAGTCATGATAAAACTTTTTTTTATTATAATTAATATTATTAAGTCATGTCTAGTTATTGAGTTGTATTAAGGATTGTATAAAGATAATTGATTCATTTTATAAAATTAATTATGAAATAAAATGCCACATAGAACACTAATTGCATTAAAAGAAAAGGTAGGAGTGTATGTTTATGTTCACATAGGTAAGGAACTTGAAGGGGAATCGAGCTGTGACAATTTCCAACATAAAAAGGTAGTATGTTTCAGTCATCAAATGCACGTATGCAAAGTCAACTTTTAAAAGTCATTGAAATAGAATACAGCCTAGGGAAATTTTGATCTTCATCACTTGGGGTTTACAGATATTTGCAGGATGCATTATAACTTAAAAAATGGCTGCTAAAGAAATTTCCATGTCAGAGAGATACAGACAACTCTTGAACACGTTTGTATAATGGTTGTCTGGTTGTCTTAAGTGGCTGCTAAGGTGAAGTCAAGAATATGAACATGGAAAGCAAACTCTGTTATTACATTATTTCTACACATCCACACAAGCCAGTGTTCCCTTTTACAATCTAAGCTCCTCCAATCATCATTTTCAGTACATATATATTGCACGTTAGCAAAGTCAACACCAAGAAACACGCAAGGTGACCTTGCCCCATATTCTGAAGTCCCAGAAGTCATACAAGATTAGATTTATCTTATTCTGTTCACATTTCCACCACTTAGTTGAGGGAATGATTGCCAAAAAAATTTCTCTACATTCTATGTTTCTTCTAACCCTCCAATTCACTTCATGTGCTTACATGGACGCCATAAAGACAAACCAAACAGTTAAAGATGGAAGCCTTGTGATCTCCAAAGAAAACAATTTTGCATTAGGATTTTTTAGCCTTGTTAATCCAAGCTTTAGATACCTTGGAATTTGGTATCATAAGGTACCTGAACAAACTGTTGTGTGGGTAGCAAATAGAGGGCACCCAATCAATGGCTCCTCAGGGTTTCTCTCCATCAACCAATACGGAAACCTCGTCCTCTATGGTGACTCTGAACGAACGGTTCCAGTATGGTCTGCAAATTGTTCTGTTGGATATACTTGTGAAGCTCAGCTTTTGGATTCAGGAAATCTGGTTCTGGTCCAGACTACAAGTAAGGGAGTTGTGTGGCAAAGTTTTGATTATCCTACAGATACCATGCTAGCAGGAATGAAACTTGGATTAAATAGGAAAACAGGTCAGGAACTGTTTCTGACATCATGGAGATCAGCAGATGACCCTGGAACCGGGGACTTCTCGTTTAAGCTCTATCCCAATGGCTTACCACAGTTCTTTCTCTCCAGGGGAACAAGACGTTATTGGCGAACAGCCTCATGGCCATGGAGAGGCCAGTGGCAATTGTACAAGGAAAGCTTCGTAAACATTCAAGATGAAGTATACTTTGTCTACACACCTATTGATGATTCCATTATCCTTAGAATAATGGTGGATCATACAGGGTTTTTGAAGGTTGTAACTTGGCATGTAAGTGACCGCAAATGGAAGGAGTTCTGGGCAGTACCCAAGTACCAATGTGATTGGTATGGAAAATGTGGTGCTTATAGTACGTGTGAACCTGTTGACATTACCAGGTATGAGTGCGCTTGTTTGCCTGGATATGAACTCAAGGATGCAAGGAACTGGTATCTGAGAGATGGGTCTGGTGGTTGTGTCAGCAAGGGACTAGAATCTTCCTCAGTGTGCCATCCTGGAGAAGGGTTTGTGAAGGTGGACAAAGTATTACTTCCTGATTTTTCATTTGCAGTTTGGGTGAACACAAGTATGAGTCGTGCAAACTGCGAAAAGCAATGCAAGATGAATTGCTCATGCTCTGCGTATGCAATTGTAGATGCTCCAGGAATAGCAAAGGGCTGCATTACATGGCATGGAGAATTAATGGACACAACATACGATAGGAATGACAGATATGATCTGTATGTTCGTGTTGGTGCGCTTGAATTAGGTACTTCTTGCTTTGCTCTAAATTTTCCAATAAAAAGCAATACTTTCCTGAAACATTTCTCATAAACAATAATATCAGTGGGCAAAGAATTGTTGTGGTTTTGTTTCAGTTACCATCTTTTCGGTTACCATTCGTAACAAAAGTTTCAAGTTCTCTGTACTCTTCTCACTCTCATGCAGCTGAGAATGCAAGGAAATCAAATGGTTCTAATAAAAAGGGGTTGCTGACCATCCTTATTCCAGCTGTTTTTTCAACATCGTTGATCATTAGCGTACTTGGTTATTTGTGGTTCATGAAGAGAGGAGAAAAAGGTAAGACAAAGCAATTCTCGCAACACAAGGTGGATAAATTGATAAAGTAACCATCCATTAAAATAATAGCTGATAAACTCCGCCCCAATAGCATTTCACATGGTGATGCTGTCAGTATATCTTATTTGACAATCGACACAAAGGATACGTTGGAGATTTTAGAAGTTCTGCTTATATTTGTCCTGTTGTTTTCAGCCGCTTTAAACATTTTTTGTTCTAAGAATTTTTTTGAGAAAGGCATTCACTTACTGTTTCCCGTCATTGAAAATTCTACTAATTAAGAGACTTGGGTGGCAAACGAGCTCCGGAGAAGTGGCAATGATGTAGACTTGGATTTCTTCAAGCTCAGCACACTATCTGCTGCCACAAAAAACTTCTCCCCAGATAACAAACTTGGGGAAGGTGGTTTTGGTTCAGTTTACAAGGTAGTTCTTTATGCAACATCTCAGAAATTAGTAGTCGATTCTCTCTTCAATTGTGTTTGAACTTTGGATTGATTAGCCAGAGTGATGTTAGGGTCAGCTACCTAATGGGGAGGAGATTGCTGTCAAAAGACTCTCAAAAAATTCAGGACAAGGAATAGAAGAATTTACAAACGAAGTCAAGGTAATTGCGAAGCTTCAACACAGGAATCTTGTGAAACTGGTAGGCTGTTGCATTCAGGGAGAAGAGCCGATGCTAATTTACGAATACTTGCCAAACAAAAGCTTAGACTCATTTCTTTTTGGTAAGCCTTTTCATAATGGCTACATCTTAATGCTTGTTCAAATGAAAAACTTGAAACTTCTTTTACAGATGAAACAAGAGAATTGTTCCTGGATTGGAGCACACGGTTTGACATTATAGTTGGTATCGCTCGTGGGATTCTATATCTTCACCAGGACTCAAGGTTGAGAATCATTCACAGGGACTTGAAATGCAGCAACATTCTATTAGATGCAGAGATGACCCCAAAAATCTCAGATTTTGGAATGGCTAGAATATTTGGAAGGGACCAAATACAAGACGAGACACGTAGAGTTATGGGAACATTGTAAGTACAGCTGTACATCTGAAAAGAGAGATTCACATATTACTCATGAATGATGAGTATAAAATTTAGTTAACATCAAGGACTATCTGCCTATTTTTCCTTTGCAGTGGATACATGTCACCAGAGTATGCTGCGTTTGGCAAAATTTCGGTGAAATCAGATGTGTTTAGTTTCGGGGTTATGTTATTAGAGATTGTAAGTGGGAAGAGGAACAACAGATATAATCTACAGGATTCTTCCTTGACCTTGATTGGGCATGTAAGATGCTTCTAGCAGTACTGATTACAATAGATACAATTTAATGTTGACTATCATCTCCTCCTGTTTGTTAATGCTATGAACCACACAGGTGTGGGAGCTATGGAGAGAAGAGAGAGCATTGGAGATAGTTGATTCATCATTGCCGGAGTTATATCACCCTCAAGAAGTCTTGAAATGCATTCAAATCGGGCTCTTGTGTGTGCAAGAAGATGCTATGGACAGACCCTCCATGTTAGCTGTTGTTTTCATGTTGAGTAGTTCTGAAGCAGCTATTCCTTCTCCAAAAGAACCTGCATTCATTTTTAGAGAAATTTGCAGTACGCCTCATACCCTAATTGAGGTACAAGAAGGTGGTGGTGATGGAGTAGAGTTAGCTATAAATAAACACGGCTGACCATTACTGTGTTGCAACTCCGTGAAGATGTCTCTCTCAGAATCATTAACAGCTCGTACAATGCACTATTAACTTCGTTCGAAGTAACAAAAAAAAATTGTAGCTATGATCAAAGAATGTTCTTAATTATGATTGATGAAACTCGTAACGAACAGGGATGATAATTTAGCCTAGGCATAAATGAAAAGGAGATGCAGATAGAAATAGGAAGGGAAACACCTAGCCTGGTCTGAACTGCTGCCATGCATGCTGGCAACACCCAGATTCAAAGTTCAAACCTCTGATGCACGGTTTGTTAGCCATCTCCTTTTGTCTTTACATTTTAGTATCTTTCAATGATTTCTTTCCTTTACAGACTGAAATAAAGAAGAAATCTTTCATCTTTGTGATTACAAGAAAGAGTTTTTCGGTTATCAGATTCTTCTATAGTGATGAGCTAAAACATGCAAGTCGCAAAGAGAAATTGAAAGCGAGAGTAAAAACAGGACAGTTTTTCAGCTGGTGTTCTTGCTCTTGACTCAGACACACTACTACTAAGTAGGATACATTAAGATAAGCAATTTCTTAATAGTCATGTATACAATGTCAGCTGCTGTATTTTCAGAATGGTTTGAAAATCAAATTATGGACTTCAAGAGAACTATAGAAATGCTTTACCATCTAGTATGCAGGGTGTTTCGCAGTTCGTGGACCTCGACATGAACTGTGATTTCCACTGTTGTGGATGAATAGACCTAGTTACTTCCACCCGCCATGGACCTGGCTGATAAAACTATGCTTAGGCCATCCTACCATAATGCCGCGTCAACCCTGACCATTGTTATTTCCATTAATTTTCCATACCAAGTCAAGCAGCCAACTCCATTCCTTTCAAAACCTAAGCTTGCAAACGCCGAACATGAACAATTCCTCAAGCACAGCTGCTCACACTCCCATCTGTGAAAAAAATGTGAGCCCAAATGGTTTTGTTTCCTTCACTAGCCCATGTTAGTCCAATTTCTTTGGCCCAAAAAGTGTCCATATATATATATATATATATAGACACACACACACATGTCCAGCTTACTCTTTTTGTTTTTTTTTTTTTCTTCGGCCGAGAGCTACTGTCCCGTTTCTCTTTCCTTTTTGCTGCAAATTCCTTTCTCTTCAAGCAATTAGCTAATTAATTAAGCAAATTACAAGTTTCCTTTATCCCTTTCTATTTGTTTCATCGTATTATTTTGGGTTTATTCCTTTATAATTAGTTAGTTGGAATGTTAGGTTTATTATAATTTAGTGGTTCGTTGAATTGATTTGAGTATATGTAGCAATATATGCATATAAACATGTATTAAGATTAATTAGAATGTGATTTTGATATATATATATATATATATATATATATATATATATAGAGAGAGAG